AGGGCTCAGGCGCCCACATATTTTTGCCTGCTTTGTAGCAATTGTATATGTGTGTGTGTGTGTGTGTGTGTGTGTGTGTGTGTGTGCATGCATGTGTAGATGCCAGTACTGGAGCTTGAACTCAGTGCCTAGAAAATGTCTCTTATCCCCTTCACTCGAGGATAGTGCTCTACCACTTGAGCTACAGTGGTAGCTCAAGTTTTGTTTTTGGTGGTTAACTGGAGATAAGAATGTCACTGACTTTCCTAACCAGGCTGGCTTTGAACCACAAGCCTCAGGAGGTCACAGCTTCCTGGATAGCTAGGATTTACAGGTACCTGGTACAACTTTTTTTTTTTACATTGTGAAAATACCATATAGAGGGGTTACAATTATACCTGGTACAACTTTTAATACGTGCTGACATTTAAGAGGCCCTGCTCTAGGACAGATGTTCTCAAACTCTGACATGCATTAAAACCTCCTTGCTGGCTACAGTGGTAGGTGCCATTTCCAGAACTTTCATAGGTCTTGAGAGGGTTGAGAGGGACCTCTTAGGGAGCAAATCCCCATGTGGTGCTAACCTTGCTGGTCCTGGGACCACATCTGAGAACCACTGCTGGAAAGGATGTCTCTTAGTCAACAGAGGTGATTTTAGCTATGAGGAGGTCTTGATCAAGTACAAGGGAAATACTACAGCAGGAGTTACAAATATGGGGGGGGGCGCTACCCAATGAGCCAAGGCTGGAACGCGCCCCACCACAAGGACCACAGCCAGGACAGTTGGGGACTTCAGGGGATCTCATGCCTTTCTTGGCTCATAAGCCACACGACTATTTGGCAGGAACTCACGTGAAGGAAAAAGCTGATTCGTTCTTGGTAATATCTTCTCTTCTTCAAAGCAAAATGATTTGAAATTCAATTTCACATTAGTTCTATGTTTAATGTAATGCTCTTAAAAATAGCATTGTAATTCCTATCAAATCCTGTGCAGGACACGGGAGTGGACTGAGGGGCCATTCTACCAGTAAGGATGGGAGAAAGGACAGCACCCCTGAAACCTGAGCTTTTCACCAGATTCCTCCTGCCATGCTGACAGGGTCCAGCTCGACTCCAGTGAGAACAATGTGTAACGACTGAACACTAACAAAACCTACCAAACAAAAGAAACAAGCCCATTTATCTACGGCCTGCTTTCTCCATTTTCATCTAGAACATCATGGTCTGTTCACTTGCATTTTGACCAATTACTGAGACAGAAAGAGGTGGGCTAAAAGTTGATTGGACCACAATGATACCCTTAGTTCCTTGAAATACTCATTCTGTGTGTCACTATGATTGCTGAAATCATGTTATTAGAACAATATTAGAAGACTCTGGGGTCAACCAGAATTGTATGATGCAGTAACCCAACTGTGCACTAGGAATTCCTAAAGCTGTGCAATGTCTGACCTTAAGAACTATTTCTTTTAGCATCTTGAAATACGCAATGTCTAATTTTTAATTAATTGACTGGATAATGACTTTGGTCAATTTCTTTCTTCTCTCATCACCCTCCACCCCTCCACAGTTCCTACATCATTAAACAACTTTACCTTCTCCAGAACAGGTTTGTCTTTGGAAGTACTTTCTAATACTTTTAAAAGCGTTTTTTATTAGCTTACATGTATTGTTTTAAATCAACCACTTTCATGGAAGCTATTACTGGCTTTCCCTTCCTCTTTTTCTTCCTGGAGCTCAGGACTTTGCATCTGCCAGGCAGGCACTCTACCTCACTCAGAGCCCATTTCCTTTTGTTTTTCAGGCCCTGGATTTCTGCCTAGTCCAGCCTGGGTCTCCTACCTGCATTTCCTGCCGAGCTGTGATGACAGACACATGCCACCATACCCAGCTTTTTCCTAGTTGGGTTAGAAGTCTCTCAAAACTTTTTTGTCTAGACTGGCTGTCAGCTTCAATTCTCCTAATATCTGTCTCCTGCCCTGGTAGCAATAGCTCACATCCATAATCCTAACTACTTGGGAGGTTGAGATCTAAGGATGGGGTTCAAAGACAGCCTGGGCAGCAAAGTCCAGGTGATTCTCATAGTCAGTGAACCACCAAAAATCCAGAAGTGAAGCTGTTGCTCCAACAGTAGAGTGTGAGCAAAAAAGCACAGAGACAGTGCTTAGATCCCGAGGTCAAGCTCTAATACCAGCAGATGAATGCATACATGTGTGTGAGCACATACACACACACACATTCACACATACAAAACCACTATCATGTCATTTGGAGCACTCTGGATTTCAGCACGTGAAGGTCAAAGGTGGCTGTAGCGGTGGAAAGAAGGTTATGTATGGAAGGTTGTTGGGGTCTCAGGAAGAGCTACCACCTCTCATCTTTACTGGCTTTTCTTACTGAACAGGATTCAAAATGTTCTCTACTTCATTGATACCCCTGAGCATCCATCTATCTGTCCGTCATCTATTCATCTATCTGTCCATTTAGAATTGGGATACGTTTGTAGTATGTGGTAATTTCATTATATTTCCATGCACAGGGTCCTTTGAGTCCCATCATTGAAGCCCCCTGTCAGGTGAGTACAGTATAGGAGAAAGGGAAATTCTTAGGCTAACACTGTGCCCAAAGCCCCTCATCTTTCTGAACACTCAGAGGACTGAGCATTTGAGTCTTGTTTCAAGACAGGTGTGGGCCAGAGTGGGCATGAAACTGTTCCCTCCCTCCCCTCCCCCAAGTCTCCATGCTAGTTCTGCCCCGAGGGCTCCAGGGGAGACTGCATGGGGACATCCAGTCTTCTGGAGACAGATGGGGATGACAGGCCTCAATCATCTCCAGAGGAGGCTGAGCTCATGATCAGATTTCCTTGAGCAACCACACAGGAAATTCCCTGTGGTCAAGGTGTGGGGCTCATCATCCGTGGGTTTTCTCAGTGCGTGGGCACAGCAGGCACTCAGACCAAGGTACAAAACAGGAGTGAGGAAGACTGGTCTTCTGGGATTGGCTACAACACTACTCTGACCTGCTTCTTCATCTGTTTCCATCATGCCTCCGTTGATCCAGTGTTGGTCGGAAGTCCTTTTGTTTCCCCACTGAGTGTTGTGGGTGGAACCCAGGGCCCTGTGAAGGCTGTGTAAATGCTCTGCCACTGAGCTATACCCCAGCTCCTACACCTGCAGATCCTGACCACTAGGAACTCTGATCTTCTCTGAGACCCCCAACAACCTTCCATATACAACTTTTTTCCACCACCACAACCACCTTTGACCTTTGTGTGTTGAAATCCAGAGTGCTCCAAATGACATGAAAGTGGTTTTATGTGTGTGAATGTGTGTGTGTGTGTGTGTGTGTGTGTGTGTGTGTGTGTGCGTGCTCATGCATGTGTATGCATTCATCTGCTGGTATTAGAGCTTGAACTTGGGGTCTAAGCACTGTCTCTGTGCTTTTTTGCTCACACTCTACTGTTGGAGCAAGAGCTTCACTTCTGGATTTTTGGTGGTTCACTGACTATGAGAATCGCCTGGACTTTGCTGCCCAGGCTGTCTTTGAACCCCATCGTTAGATCTCAACCTCCCAAGTAGTTAGGATTATGGATGTGAGCTACGGCTACCAGGGCCTGTGCCAGGACAACAATTTAGAAAGTCAGCATATACAATAACTAAAGAGAGTTCCTAAAATAATGCAAGCATATAAAACCACAAGCAAAGCCTGTCGTTGTCTGGGAAAGCAAAACAAATACATGAATTACTCCTAACAGTCAGACTTGGTGGGAGAGGCAGGCAGAGACAATATGATGTGTCCAGATGGAGCTGTGGGGTTCTTACTTTAGCTTCCGGGGACAGAAAGACAAATCTACCCGGCAAAAGAATTAGAAACCACTGTAGAAAAAAGCGTCAGAGAAACGACAAACCTTTGGAAGCAGTTGCTGCTGGGTTCGGTGCCTGCTACCTACTGGAAGGAGGAAGGGCTCTGTGGGGTGAGGATCTTAATGATCAAAGGAAGAAGGGCTCTGTGGGGTGAGGATCTTAATGATCAGGTTACAGTAGTGTCTGTTTTCAACTTCCTATGTGTTGCTGGACTCTAATACTCATTATTTACTCCTTATTTACTTATTTATTTATTTGTCTTGGTCCTGGGGCTTGAACTCAAGGCTTAGGCATTGTCCCCGAGCATTGTTGCTCAAGGCTGGGGCTCTACCACTTGAGGCACAGCTCCACTTCTGATGTCTGGTGGTTAGTGGAGATGAGAGTCTCATGGACTTTCTTGCCTGGGCTGGATTTGAACTGCGATCCTCAGATCTCAGCCTCCTGAGTAGTTAAGGCCATGGATGTGAGCCACAGGCACCAGGCCATCATTTCCTCCTTACAATATGTCTTGCCTTCATTTCACAGAGGACACTGGGACACAGAGATTAAATACCTTGTCCAAAGACACCTTGCACAAAGAGCTGAGTCTGAGTCTGTGGCGCTCGCATACCACCCTGCCAAAGAAACTTTGGAAGTGACCAGGGGACCTTCTGGGGCCACACTAACATGACCAGAGACAGCTCCTGAACCTCTTCTGAGCATGTGGGCCAGATCATTCCAAATGTTTTAATTGAAGAGGCTGCAGCAAGCTGGGGCGGGGGGGCAGAGCCAGGTGATTTGTAGTTCTCACAGACAATTAGAAGGTCTCCCCAGTACTTGGGGAGAAGGAGAGAATGCAGATGAGTGTTGTGTTTTGTGCAGGGGTGTGATGTTATTATTCTGAGCCCCCCTGTGAAATCCAAAGTCCAGTCTATCACAAACACTTTGTAGCCCTGCATCCGCTGTTGGGGATGGTGGGCACACATATGGGTGAGGACAGAAAGTGGAAAGAGAGACAAGCCAGGAGAGAACACACCCAGCGACAACCGAGGCCCCACGAGACTAACATGGGGGGACATTCTTCCACCGAGGTAAGAATAAAGCAACACAAGCCTGGAAGCCTAGGAGAGTGGGAGGCGCTAGGGGCTGCGGCTGCCTGGGTGCCCCACCTGCACTCACCTGTATGTGGTTTCGGGGAGAAGGTCCCGCAGGACATGGCTGGTGGTGTTGCCCACCGTGACACTTTTGTCTCCAAGATCGATGTTGTAAGCGAGGATCTCAGAGCCGTTACTGCATGGCTCCTCCCAGTTCAGAACCAGGCACACGGAGGGTGGGTCTGGGTGGGTGGTGAGGGGCTCGTCTTCCAGGACACAGAGCGTAGAAATGGGGTCGGGGGCGGACGCTGGCGTCTGACACACAACAAGCTCACTGTACGGTCCCGCACCTGCAGGGTTGAAGGCCTGGAACACAGGATAGCGACACGCCTCCATGTTACTGGTGTATCATTCGTCTGTCTGTCTGTCTGTCTGTCTGTCTGTCTATCTATCTATCTATCTATCTATCTATCTATCTATCTATCTATCTTATCTGTCTATCTGTCTACCTATCTACCTACAATCCATCCATGTTCTAGCACTTAGCTTGAACTCAGGGCCTGGAGATCTCCCTTAACTTTTCAGCTTTAGGCTGGTGTTCTACCACTGGAGCCACACCTCCATTTTCAGCTTTTTGCTAGTTTAATGGATATAAGGGTCTCTTAGGTTTGTCTGCCCAAGCTGGCTTTGAACAGTGATCTTTGTATCTCACCCTCTTGAGTGGCTAGGACTATAGGTGTGAGCCATTGTGTGCCTTGCTTAGTATTGTGGCTTTTTTTTTTTTCATATACAAAAAACTTGAAGGTAACTTTTTGGAAGTGAATGGAAATCTAGTTCTCATTGACCCCATTGAGACTTGATCATCAGGAGATGTCTACAAACAACACTTACATATAGCTCCTTTCTTGGTTAATCTGCAAGTTATAAAAAAAAAAGTAGGCTAGAAGAATTGGCTCCCTATCAAATACCTGCAAAACTCTAGTAATATTTAGTAGCATTGTGACAGTAGTCACATGTGACTATGACAATACTTCAACTATATCTTTTTAAAGAAATTTTATGACTTTTTTTTTTTTTTAGTTGGTTGTAGGGCTTGAACTCTGGGCCTGGGCACTGTCCCTGTGCTCTTAAGCTCAAGGCAAGCGCTCTACCACTTGAGCCACAGGGCCTCCTTTAAAGAAATTTTAAATCACATGTTTTGGTTCTTTTTAGAAGTACTGGCTTCATGCTTGCTAGGCAGGTGCTTTACCCATTTGAGCAATGCCCACAGCTCTCTATTTGCTTTTAGTTCTTTTTCTAGTCTCATTATTCTTTCATTTTTCATTTATCATTTCTCTTCCCTCCCCCCCTCTTCCTTCCCCCTACTCATCCAACTCCTCTTCCTCCTCTGTCTTCATACCTTACTTCCTTCCCAGGGAAAAACCCGAGCAAGACAGCATTTCCCTTTGTGACCAAACTCTATGGAATTTGGACCACTTTTCACATTGGTAGAAAAGCCACACACACGCACAGGGAAATCTCTGTGGTCTCACCCTGTGCTCTTAGGAGTAACGTTTTATACACCACAGAACAATCACACTGAACAAGCCAGGTTTACTACACTACTGTGAAGAGCGCAAGACGCCATTCATGCCTTCCCCATTTTTTTCCAGTAAGATAGTTATTTTTTCCATTCCAGGATTCTATCTGGTGTCCTACTTTCTTTAATCGGGCTTGGCTGTGTGGAAAATTCTTTCTTGATTTATGGTACTTGTAATCATCAGTGTTCAAAGGACACTTAATTTAAAAGCATCTTTTACTAAGAAAGTGGCCAGTGTAATATTCTATATGCCACTTACAAAAAAAAGCATTGCTCTGGTACTTCTTAATTAAAATACTCCTAAGGAAGGACATAAAAATTCAAAAAAAGAAAAAAAAACTCCTGAGCAGAACAAGACACACTCCACTAAATTTTTATAAAATACAGCACAGAAATGAGTATCAGGAAGCTGAAATACAGTTTGAATGAGGGGCTAGTTGGGCACTGTGGATGAATGAAACAAGAATAGCCAACAAATACAGCAGGAATGCTCATTGTACATGTGTGATAAAGGAAGTGGGGCATGAGGAATTTCTCATGTCTGTGGGGGCTAGGAGGGCTGGGGAAAATGGTAGAAGGGGAGACAGATGGAGTAGCACTGCACTTACGTCCACTTACATGGACATGTGAAATGTCTCCCGTGTGTAGCCACTTGAAGTTTCTAACCTTAAAAAAAAAAAAAAAGAACTAGGTGCTGGTGGCTCACACTTGTAATCCTAGCTACTTAGAGGTTACGATCTTAGGATCATGGTTCTAAGCCAGCCCAGGCAGGAAAATGTATGAGACTCTTATCTCCAATAAACTCTTATCTCCAGCAGTGGAAATGCGCTCGGCTCAAGTAGTGGAGTGCTAGCCTTGGGCACAAAAGCTCAAGGACAGCACCCAGGCCCTGAGTACAAGCCCCAGAATTGGCACCCAAAAAATGAACAAAACCAAACAATAAAAAAGAGCCATGTGCCAGTTGCTCAAGCCTATAATTCTAGCTACTCAGGAGGTTGAGATGTGAGAATCTCAGTTTAAATCCAGCTCAGGCAGAAAAATCTATGAGACTCTTATCTCTAACTAACTAGCAAAAAGCTGAAACTGGAGCTGTGGCTCAAGTGGTACAGCACCAGTCTTGGAAGAAAAAAAAAAGTTCAGGGAGAGGACCTAAGTCCTGGGTTCAAGCCTCAATTCCAGCACACACCTTCTCTCCCATCCCCCAAATCCTACAAGAGTATGTGTTAAAATGATTTAATTTTTTTTAAAGTGCCAGATAGTCAAAGGAATATTCAGGTTGAAGCTGACTTTGGAGTAAAGTCAGATTTGCATAATTCCTCCGTGGGCCACAGACACAGGGCTACAGAGCCTGTGGGCGGTCCTGCTCCAGTGTGCCCATGGCGACCTTAGAGGTACTGCCTGCTTCCATGTTCTCACACCTTTGTCACACGCTCTGACTCATTTTCTGACAATTATGGACATTTAAAAACATTTCCTATTCCTGACTGTCCATACAGAGAAACCAGATCATTCTGCATCTCTTTTAATTGCATCTTAGAAAATGCGGGCAATGCTAAGTGTGACACCATCACCCCAGAATGGTAAGAAAAAAAAAAGGCAACCTTAAAGAGGCAGGAAAACTTCAAAAGCAGAGGGGAGGGAGCGCTGCGCCACGTGGCACTCTTTATCCTGACCTTATTCTCCACTGGGCAGGATGGCATACAATCCGCCCTTTCCCAGCGACTCAGCGCCACCTTTACAAAGCTCAGCTAATGTGCCATGACACGCACGCAGGGAAGGGTTAATTACGTCTCAGGTGCTCTAGCTGAGAAGAAAGGAAGGATGATGTGTAGCAAAATACACCAATCAGAAATGTTTCAGATAAAGCAGGCTTTCAGAATTTAACTAAAAAAAGCTTTAGTTGTTTTAGAAAATTGAATTGATGGGAGTATTTTCTCCAAAGAGGTCAGGGACATTGGGAGCACTTCTAATAAACACTCTGATCCATGACTTAAATCAGGTCAGAACCTAAATGTGGCATCTTTGCAGTCAAAGCTAGACATGTGAAGACGATCCTTCCAGGCCAACACTGGCATTTGATTAATTCATCTTTGTATATTCCTTCCTGATCGTCTTTTGATTCTGATACAACGTTGTGCTCAGGAAATATTACTGAAGAAAATGGAAAGAAATGGTTCAAGAATTTGATTTTCAGTTTTTATTACAGGTTTCTAGCTGGGCGGTAGTGGCCCCTGTATGTCTGTAGTTCTAGACCCTTGGGATGGGAGGCTGGGATTTGAGGATCACCATTCAAAGGTAGGCAGGGCAGGAAGGTCCAGGAGACTCTTTTCTCCAAAGAACCATTACCAAAGCCAGAACTGGAGGTCTGGCTCATGTAGTGGAGCACCAACCTTGAGCAAGAAAAGCCAAGCAAGAATGCAAGGCCCTGAGTTCAAGTTCCAGTACTGCAAGTGCAAGCATTAAAAAGAAAACAAGCTTTCTAACAGGAGAAAACATTTACCCAAATGCATGATGTAGAGTAAACCCATGAACACTGGTGTTGGGGGTGAGGCCAGGAATCACGGTTCCTGATCCCATTCTACACATCCCCACCCCCACCCTGGGAGAAGCCTGCAGATGCCCGTCCTGAACAGTTATGGGAGGTGGTCCTGCAACCTCAGGCTGATGGGCCCCAAACAAACCAGATATTTGTTCTCAGCTCCAATACGAGCTGGTATATGAATGGGACTTCTGTCTGCATGCCAGTTCTCTGGCTTTTGGATGTGGGGTGAACCCGGGGAGCTGCAGGGGTACTACAGGGCCTCCCTCCCAAGGCTCCAGCTCTCCTTTCACCTGGATGCATTCATTCACACATGATCCGGTCACGCGAGGTGTAGAAGTAGAGAGGGAAGACCCCTGCAGGCTCTAACATGTTACAACTGCTCAGACAATGGAAATTTGCTATATACCAGACATCAAAATGAGTTTTTTTCTTTTGTGCTAGCACTGGGGCTTGAACCCAGGGCCTGATCACAGTCCCTTAACTGTTTTTGCTCATGGCTGCCACTCTACTGCTTGAGCTATACCTCCACTTCCATATTTTTGCTGGCTAATTGGAGAAAAGAGTCTCATGGACTTTCCTGCTTGGGCTGGTGCTGAACTGTGACCTTTAGATCTCAGCCTCCTGAGTAGCTAGGATTAGAGGCATAAGCCACCAGGGCCCAGCTTGCACATGTTTTTCTTATTTCAAAGGACTCTTTCCTCCTTATACCCCTTAACATTCTTCTTTGCCCCTATTAGTTATTTCCTGGAAGGGTCTTTATGAAGACTCACCTGCCCCAGGAATAATGAGAAACATGTCGGCCTACCTGTAGCCTGCAACAATACTGAGCGGCAGGCAGCAGGTCTCTTATCTCGAAGCAGGTGTCTGGCCCGTGATAAATGAGTTCCAGGGACTCTTCATCTTCTCCCCACTCCAACCGGTATTCTGAGATATCTGCACCCAAGCTCTCGGGGCTCTGGGGAAAAGCGATTCAGGTAGTGAGTCATTCCACCAAGAAAATGCAGACTGTGTGCAGTTCAACTAGCTCACCTGGGTGGGAGAAGGGGGAGGGGGGGCAACAGGCCCAACGGATTTCCAATACAAACATAACAAGCAAAAAGAAAGGCATGCAAACCACACTTCAATGTGGGCGCCAGTGGCTCAGGCCTGCAATGCTAGTTACTCAGGAGGCTGAGATCTGAGGATAAGGATTCAAAGTCAGCCCAGGGTGGGAAGTCCACGAAACTCTTACTTCCAACCAAGTCACAAAAAGCCAGAAGTGGAAGAATAACTCAAGTGGTAGAGTGCCAGCCTTGAACCAAAAAAAAACAAAAAAACAACCACACCCTAAGAGCCAGCACCTAGAGTTTGAACCCCAGCACCAACACACACACACACACACATACACACACACACACACACACACACACACATACACACACAAACACACGAGTTCATTTCCTTTTAATGGTGGCCATTTCCATCACTCTAAAGAATGCAACCAAGTGCCAAGATTGTTATATTCAGACCAAATGAACGTCAGGCAGGCATCTTGGCTTTGTGGATTCCTCCTAACTTGTGTCTGGGGTGAAGCAGAAGCAACAGAGAATGGACGCCTATGTGTCAGTGCTTACCTCCCAGTTCACAAGGACACGGCCATCAGATGTGAAAGAAATCCCAGGTCCTTTGCACTGTCCCGGGGGCCCGGCTGCAGTGGTGATTTCAGACACATCAGAATAGGGACCATACTGGAAAGAGAAGGGCACACATGTGTGAATACATGTTGTGTGTGGGTGTGGATACAGATGATGCTAACATCATCAACAATACAACTGATCAAAACCCACTCTCCTGAGTGCTGTGGCTCACCCCTGTAGTCTCTGTTACTCGGTTCAAGGGCCAGCTCAGGCATAAAGTCTTGAAAAACTCTCTCTCAGCCAACAGTTAGATGTGGTGGTGAGAAGCAGAAATAGGAGGAGCATGATCTAGATGGGCCAGGGCAAAAGTGTGAGACCTTCTCTCCAAATCACTAAACCCAAAAAACAGCTGGGGGGATGGTTCAGGTAGTAGCAAGGTGAGGTCCTGAGCTCCAACCTCAGGCCCACCACATAATAACCTCCTCACCACCCCAATGAAGCAATGCTCCTCGCTTTTACTTGTCTGTACACTAGTGCTGTTTTCCAGGGAGTAAATGCCTCATACACACGTCTCATCTTTTACTCAAAAAGAGAAGAAGATAGTGTGACTCAACTCTGATGTCGGAAAAAAATATGGCAATTTCTGACAAGACAGGCCATCCTGCGTCCCACGCCTCAGACACATCCAAGAAAACTAAGTCTGATGCACAGCCTAAGTTAAAGTTTAACTTCATAAAAAAGTGACTGGAAGGGCTGGGAAGGTGGCTCAGTGGTAGAGCGCTTGCCTTGCATGCCTGAAGCCCTGGGTTCGATTCCTCAGCACCACATAAGCAAAAAGAAAAA